AGTAGAGCAATGCTGATGGTCTGTTACGCAAACCTGAGGCTGTGCATCCTCTTGCACCCCTGAAATCTGTGTTCTATTTCTAACCAGGCTGACAGGTCAGCTGTTGTAGTGTAGGAGCTTACAGAAATGTGCAGGGTGGGGAGTCAGGGAGACAGCCTCTCTCTACTAGAAGGGTGAAGAGTGTGTCTTTGTTTGTTTGTTTGTGAAAAACAATGCAAAAAAGTCAAATTCTTGGAAAGACCTTTGGCTCTAAGTCCAATTCAGACACTGCCAAATTCCTCCCTAATGTGCAGCACTTCTGTCTACCGATTTTTGATTTTTTTCTTTTTTTTTTTTGGAGAGATTTTCACTGTAGGGCGCATGTGCTCGCCAAACGGACAGAGAGAGACATAGAGACAGAAAACGAGAAATCACCCCCCAGGGGGGATGGTCACGCCGCAATCCCTTCTCCTCCATTCTCCTCTCGGGATCTTGGGCACGCACGCACACGCGCCCGGCGTGAGTTTTAAGCCACCGGGTCCGGAACACGGACCGCGGTCGACTACGTGGGAGTCCAGCGACATAGCCATTACGCTAACTGCTGGTTCCCCCGATTTTTGATCTTTTAAGACTATATTACACTGTCTGTCTATATCCCAGACTCTAAACCGTATGCTCTTGAGGGTGGAAATTCTATCTTATTCATCTTTTTCTCCCCAGCCCCTGCATAGTCGCTGGCATACAGTGATATTCAATAAATAACACATGGCATTAACTGAAAGTCTGGTGTTTCTGGAATTTGGCTGAAATCTGAAACATTGCAACACTGTGTCACTCAGAATGCTACCTTACCCTGAGTGTCAGAGAAAGGAGAAATGTAGTGGTCACTAGATCATAATATCCTTTTATAAGGTAACTGCCATTCAGGGCGGGGAAGGCACTGGGTAGAATCACCCTTCCAGCAGCACCCTGCACCCCTTTGCAGCCCTCGGAGTTTCCCCGGTCCCCTCGTTTTCAGGTGCCTCCTCTTACACCCTCCTCCTGGGGGTTCCAGGGAAGCAAACTTTGCCTGAGACTCCACTACTCTCCACCCCAGGGGATCAGCCTGGGATCACAAAGGCCTTTATGGTTCTGTGAAATAAGATTATCCTTCACTTGTACCGATTTGTTCTTGCAGCCCTTTCCCTGGATCAAGCTATTCTGTTGTTAGTGTGGAGGTTTGGGGAGGGGCTGAACCTGCCTGCCTACCGGGAGCGCTCTGTATGCCAAAGCCCTGCCCACCCCACCCCTGGGGTCTCACGCAGCTCTAGGGAGACCTTGCTTTAGGGGTCAATGTTGAAGAGGGAGTCGCTGCAGATGCTGCTACAGCAATGAATGCTGAGATTCCCTTTAGGGATGCTTTACGAAGTTATTTTAATTACTACTCAGACCACGTAACTTGACCCAAGCAAAACTACCTGTGCTCTGTGGTGTACATATTCCTAAAATCATATCAGTGCGTGTCTGTCTCCTGCCTTCATTCCATTTGAGGCAAAAGTCTATCTCACCAAATCCCTATGACAGCGTGGGAAGCTGTCCACAGCTCCCCTCTCACCCTTACTATTTGTTTCCCATTCAGACTTCCAGAAAATAGTTATCTTTTGGCTGTTGTGGAATGAAACAAGAAAAGACTAATTTTGACGGGGCCGGGAGGAGTACTTGTTAGCTCTTCAGTTAGCTCTAAGCCGGTGGTTCTCAAACTTGGCTGCTTTTTGGAACCACCTGGCGAGTTTTTAAAAACTGTTTATATTTAGCACCCCCAAGATTCTGATTTTATTGACTCGGGTGTGGCCTGGGCTATAGGATTTTTTTTTAACTCTCAGGTTAGTTCCAGGTTAAAAACTACTGATTCAAATCCCACATTCCTCCTTTCACCATAACAAAAAAATAGATTCCGAACACAGGTCGGTGCCCCTGGGAATCTGGCACCCGCTCGCTCCTTAGCAGGCGCCAGCACGGCATGGTCCCAGAAAATCCGCGCGCGCGACGATGCTAAACACGCGATGGCGGGCAGGGCGGGGCGGGCGGGGCGGGCAGGCGGTGCCGCGCGT